AGTCCAAGCATTTGTTCCTTGAGCAAGGCATCGATTTGCAAACAAATCAAGCATACCCTAAAATAACATTTTACTTTAAATATAATAATGCTGAACTTAATAGTAATAGTAGTGTCATGCATTTTGACGCTGACAGCATCCATTAAAGGAAAAAAAAGTAAGAATAAGTTTTTTAACACTTATATATAAAAAAAGTATAAGAAATTTATATACGGAAATGTAAATATGTAACTTACAAAAATTAAGAGCAAAAGGTAATCTAAAAATTCTATAAAGTTCCAATATTTTTTAAGGATTCTTTATCTTTAAGTTTGTATTTTTTAGTGATAAAAATTAATTTTCAAATGCCTTGAATAATGGATTTTAATATTTTATTTAATAATAAATTTTAATAATATTTAATAATTTTGTTAAATTTTTTAATAATAATTTTATTAATAATTTTCTAAAGTTTTTAAGAAAAAAATTACTCAAAAATTGTCTAGCATTAGCAAATAAATGTTTCAAAATCTATGGAATAATTATTCTTAAGTCTTACAAGTACCCTTGAAACAATTATTTAACTTAAAAATCTAAAACTAAAAATAAAATACTTTAGTTCAGTTTTAATGCTACTCTGCTCCACTGCAATTTAGTAGGTTGAGTTGGCAGATCATATATGTAAGGATTTTGTATGTAATATGTATAATATATGATTAAACTCTTTGTATTTTAAAAAGCAGCAAGATAATTAAAAAAATCCATAAAAAAAGCAGTGAATAGAATTGGGTTTGAACCTACAGAAACTTTAGCTACTGAAGGTTTTCATTAAGTAGAAAAACAAACCATACTATAAACTTTTTATAAGCTGTATTTAATGAACACCTTTATGCAGGTACTCTAAAAAATCACAACTATATTGCATAGCAGGTACAATTTATTTTTTGAAACTGAAACGATTGTATCACAACATATGTTTAAAAAAAATGTTAATAAGTAAATTAACTTTGAAATTTTTTTTTGATATCTTTGTATAAGATCTAAGAAAAATTTATATTTAAATGATGTGTAGCTCATCGCTTAGAGCTTGCACTAAAAGATGCTTTATCAAAAACCGTTTTTGACAATGTCGATGAATTGCTTCTACATTTTTTTATTTTTTTATTTAACATGTGAAAAGTTATTTTGCTTCATAAAAAAAAAGAAGAAAAGAAGATAAAAATAAGCAAGCAAATATTTAAATGTCTTCTAAAAGTTTTCAATTGTGAAGGATGGGATCAGAAAGTAGTGGTGGAAAACATAAATGTTAATAATAATGTGTTTGCAGATGACGCTATGACTTATTTATTACATCGATTTGAAACACCTTTAAAATGTGCTGGGATAAACGCATCAGATGTGTCAAGTCAATTCCACTCTCTGTTAGGGTATGCTCGGAGTATCTTTCTTTACTAAAATCAACATATTTGTGTACATAGAGAAAAAAATTTCCTTTCCGCAGTGTATGAATGGGAAGGATGTATTAGTAATGATTGAATGACTTTTCACCATCCCAGTGTGCAACGCTAAGCTAAAAAAGAGTGTTTTCCAAGTTGAAATTAGTTAAAACTGACTTTAGATGCTCCTTGTCTACTCAAAGATTAGAACATTTCTTAAGAATAGACGATCTGGTCCACCTGTAGAAAAGTATAACGGTATGCCATCAATTTAAAAATGGGACACAACTTATAACAATGCTGCAAAGTTTATAAAAAATATATAACAAATAAAAGTTCATTAAGTGATGAAAATGAAGATGAAAAACATAATGTAACTAACCTCTGGGAAAATGTTTCCGAGCCAAAAAGTTTATTTTCAGATTATGAAATCTGATTTATGTTTTAAATAACATATAAAAATGATAAGTTTATTTAGATATCAATATATTATATTAATCAACTTTTCATCGTCTTAATTATAGATAAAAACAATTGTGAATATATACTTTATATACAATATATACCAACAATATATATCTTTTTGGCGCTAAAAATCGAGCTAATGAACAAAACTATTTTATTGAAATTTAGCATGTTTGTAACATATATATATATATATATATATATATATATATATATATATATATATATATATATATATATATATATATATATATATATATATATATATATGTATATATATATATATATATATATATATATATATATATATATATGTATATATATATATATATATATATATATATATATATATATATATATATATATATATATATATATATATATATATATATATATATATATATATACATATATATATATATATATATATATATATATATATATATATATATATATATATATATATATATATATATACATATATATATATACATATATATATATATTTTTTTGGCATGCATAATGACATGCATCTCCATAAGCTTTCTTTTTACGGTGTATCTGGAAACATCTTTAAGATTATTGAATCCTTCCTTTTCAATCGTAGTATAAAAGTTGTGCTTGATGGACAGCACTCTTCTTCTTATTCTGTAACCTCAGGGGTTCCTTAAGGTTCAATCCTTGGTCCTATACTCTTTTTAATTTACATTAACGATCTTCCAGATATTCTCACATCTAAGGTGGCATTGTTCGCTGATGATACTACCATTTATTCTTGTCACGATGAGAAGCCAACTCCCTCTGATTGCTTGCAGGGGGCATCTGAGCTTGAAAAGGATCTCACTTCAGCTACAGCATGGGGCTCACGGTGGCTGGTGAACTTTAATTCAGATAAAACTCAATTTTTTTCGGCCAATCGTTATTGCAATAGTTTAGACCTTCCTATATTTACGAACGGTAATGTACTCGATGAGTCTCCTACCCTTCATCTTCTAGGATTAACTCTTACTTCTGATCTTTCTTGGAAACCTTATATCAAATCCGTTGCAAAATTAGCATCTGCTAAAGTTGCTTCTCTTTATCAAGCTCGTCACTTTCTTACTCTATAAATCTCAAATCCGGCCTTGTATGGAATACTGTTGCCATATCTGGGGTGGATCTTCTAATGATGCCCTTTCTCTTTTAGACGAGGTGCAAAAACGCATTGTAAACATAGTTGGACCTACTTTTGCAGCCAACCTTCAACCTCTGTCACATCGTCGTAATGCTGCTTCTCTTTCTCTTTTCTACAAATACTATAATGGGCACTGCTCTAAAGAGCTAGCGTCTCTTGTGCCATCTACGAAAATTCATTCTCGTGTTACTCGTCATTCAATAAAGTCTCATCCTTTTTCTGTTACTGTTCCTAAGTGCTCCAAAAACTCTTATTCGTCTAGTTTTTTTCCTCGAAAATCAGTTCTTTGGAATTCGCTTCCTTCATCTTGCTTTCCTGATTCATATAATTTGCAATCTTTTAAGTCATCTGTCAATCGTTATCTTGCTCTACAATCTTCATCTTTTCTTTTCCAGTAACTTCCAACACTAATTAGTGGTTGCTTGCAGCCTTGTTGGAAGCAAAGATAATTAAAAAAAAAAAGAAAAAATATATGGGAGGCTGTTATATTTAATTACATTAATAAAATGCGTAAATCAGATAGTAAGAGATCAAAAGTTTATACAGAAAAGCGTTGTTGGAAAAAGAAAGAAAGGGAAGTTATCAAAGAAGACAATTAACAAGAAAAGGAAACAAGCAAAAAATCAAGCGAAAGTTTGCAACCAAAGTTTTTGAACAATTTTAAAATTGATAATTTTACTTTTCTGAAAGAGTTATTTTATAAAATTATGTTGAAAACTGGAAGCATTAACCATTTAAACTTTAGTAAAGTAATAAAGTATAAATAAATATATCAGCCTGCCTTTAGTTGCCTATTTTAAATTTAACGTACCCAGTATCAAAAAACTATAATTGAAAACTTTGATAATGTTATAAAGTTTATACTTTTAAATAGTTTACATGGTTTTATAATTATTCATTTTTTTTTTGATAGTGTTGTTTTATTTGTTGTTTTTTAAAATTAGACTTATTGTTATGACTGTCACAGTTACGACCGTCACAACAACAAAAAATATATATAAATGCTTATCTGCATTTTTTGGAAGTTTCAAGTTATTTCCATTTTTGGTTCATTTTTAATACAACCGTCACTCTCGCGGAATCGCCCACACATATATAATATATATATATATATATATATATATATATATATATATATATATATATATATATATATATATATATACACACACAAGCATATAAATAGATAACACTAAATAAACTGAATTCATGACAACTGAATTACATGATATCTAATAACTGATATCACTGACATAACATAATTTGGTCCCGTAAAATGCAAATAGACAAAATAGGCAGATAGTCTAAGAAAACCTGTCTGTAGTACTTTTTCAGAATTGACATTTAAAGACATGTGACATGTCTTTTTCCTGTGTTTTTTTTTAACTAAATAAATATAAATGTTAGACAATACTTTTAAAAAACAGTTTGTGTTCAAATCATATTTTACAATTTGATTGGACACTGTCTGACCCAAACAGGTTTGGATCAGACTTGTAAGATCAGGTTTGTCCAGGACTTTATAAAAAAATAAATGACTATGTTGCTCTTTTTTTTTTTGTACAGAAAGGTATCACAAAAAAAGTTTAACAGATAGAGTAAAGATAACATGCCGAGCTCCCTTGAACCATTTTATTAGTCCTCTTTTGCTAGTATATATCATAGATGAGTATTTGACTTTATGAAAATCCCGAAAATTTTTTCCTATGAAAATCCTGGAAAACTCCGGAAAATTATTTTATTAAAAATTGATCATATTAACAGACAACAAATACGTTTGTAAACTTTTAAAACGGAATTTAGATTATTTTACTTTTTACAAAAAGGAATTTCTAATATTCGAAAAAGATAATTTGAATGAACTAAAAAGCAAAAAAAAAAAGAAAAAAATTGTTCTCGTAAAAATTTTAATTATAGAAAACATATTTGTTTATATGCAAAAGTTGTCGTATTAAAAATTTTTGTAAAAATATATAATTTTTTTTTCTAATTAATAACAAAAAACACCTGGAAATTTCTGGAAAATAAAAGGAATTTTCCAGTAAATTTCCGTAATTCCGGGAATTCCCAGAAAAAACTCATCTATGATATATAAATACACCTAAGTTATAACAACTTAATAGTAAAGTGTCCTTTTATATGCTTTTTAAAATGGAGTTTTTTAAACAACCTATAGCTGCAAGAGATATTTATGATGACAACTACAAAAAAAACTTTTTTTTTGTAACAATAAACTTTAGTTATCTTTTGTTGTAGTGAAAATTGAATTTAATGTTGGTCTTTATGTAAACTTGCTTTGCTTTATACTTTTTAGACTTAATGATCGCAATAAAATATATAATCATTATGTGGTCATTTATTTTTACCAGTTCTTATCTTTTTTTTATTTTAATTTTTTTTTTTTAATATCGCTTTTTATTAATTTTTTCTATGTTTTCTTTTTTAAATAACTTTGCGTACTGATTTTTGATCTTTTGCCAAATAAGTTTTAGCAGGTTTTAACATTTAAGGTTTTTGACAACTTTCAAATTCATTTAATTAACTGCTTCAACTTTGCCTTTTTTATGGTTGCTATGCAACTTTATATTATAAACAAATGTATGTTTTATAATATAGTTTATTTATTTATGGCTTCCTATTATTTATTATTTATTTGATTTATATAAACATTTATAAATTACAACCGCATTATAATGTGCAAAACAATTTAGATATATATAATTAAAAAGGTCAAGAAGTATATTAAATTTTTTGTTTTAATAAACTATGGTTGATGCATTTATTACTTTTTATCATGCTTTTAGGCTCTGTGAGGGCCTGTATTTAGTGGAAAGTTATATTTAATCAGTTAATTTAAACTTTAAGAATCAGAATACTTTTAAAATAGAAATAATGACATTTATCATATTATATATTCAACAACTTAATGCTCATTGGTGCGTGTTTACACAGAACTCATGGCAGCCATTAAACCCGAGTTAATGGTGATAAGGAGTCTCAGCACTAAAGGAAGTATGAGAAATTTATGTAATTGTGTGAATATGTAACTTATGTAAATCAATATCAGTATGTCATTTACATTTATTGTAAAAATTCAATTTGTATAGCATTATTTACAAAAGTATGAATGGCAGTAAGTTGAGTTTAGTTGGCGGGTTGTATTTGGAACAGTTGTGTATATTATATGTATAAGATAACTTTTAAAATATTTTAACAACTATAAATCCTCTTTGTTAAAACTGTTTTGCTTTGTATTTTAAGAAACAGAAAATGTTTTTTTGATTAGTGCAAAAATGTCAAGATGCTGACACAGGATCTAAACCACTGAGCTACAAGAGATGTGTCAAATCAAAGTATAAACTAATTTACAAACTTTTTACAAATGTCTTAGTTCAATACCCTCTAAGAGGGTATTCTAAATAATTAAAAATATATATCATAGGAATTTATAAAAGAAATATTTAAAAACCGAAATACTTTCTCCAAAAAAAATTGTAAGTATAAAAATTACATTTTTTTAAATGACAATTTATTTAACAAATGACAAAAAAATTTATTAAAAAATATATTAAACAAATGAAAAAAACAGAGTTAAAATTTAATTAGCATCAAAATTATTTTGAAATGAATTATATTCTAAATAAAATAAGTAGGTAAAAACAGAAAAACAAACAACTTTGTTAAATTCTGAATAAAATAATTTTAAAAAATCCGCAAAGTTTTATTATAATTCTAAATAAAATGAAAACGGCAAAAACAAACCATTTGTTTATTTTCTATAATAAAATAAAATAAAAACAGCACATCGAAAATTAATTTATATTTTAAATAAAATAATTAGGATAAAAACGAAAAAACAAACATACTTTTGTTCTAAATAAAATATATATATAAAAAAAAACATAAAAGTTTTATTTTGATTCAAAATAAAATAATTAAAATAAAAACGATAAAAAAAAACAATTTATTTAAATTCTAAATAAAATAATTGAAATAAAAATGACATTATATTTATTTCAATTCTATATAAAATAAAAACAGCAATGTTTCATATTAATAAAAATAATACAAAAAGGAAGTTATAAATGCTGAAAAATTCATGATAAATGCGTTATAATAATTTAAGGCATCTTATCAACTGATGAAAAACAAAACTGATAAAATGGAATGCAATCTCTACCCAGCATATAGTAGTGTTCAAGTGGCAAAACATTAATGCTATTCTAAAAACATTTGTGTAACTGACTATGCTGCTAGTGTTTCACTTTAAGATCTACTGGATTCATGATAAATGCACTTCTTTAAAATATAAAAAATAATAAAAGTTTTCAAGTAGTTGAAAATTAAGTTAAAAATAAAGTTTTGCAAATATGTTCCACTAGTTTCTTTTTCTGCAAAAACTGCATGTCATTACGAATTGAAAATTTATAAAAGATCCCTTTTTTTATAAATTTACTTTTCTTTTAATAACAAGTTTACAGAGCTACTTGGAGAAATAGATACTTTTGTTATATATTTACATAATTAATTAGGAAAATCTGTGCAAATCATTTTTCTTAAAGTAACAAATAATTTAGATAATATAAGATAATAAATAATTTGGCAACAGCTAAAAACGATTTCAAAACTGCAATTAAACTTCTAAAAAATTTGTCTAAGCGCAATTACTTTGAAGTCTTGAAATCAAGAAAATATTGCACATAACTACAAAAGGTTGAACAACAATAATCAAAAAAAGAAGCAAATTAGGACTTTGAAGAACTTTATATTAAAAACAACATTGGTATAATGGTAACAAAATGGTAATAATGGTAAAATTTTTACACCACAATTGATTATAAGCAAAAAAAAACTATTCCTGTAATAGATGTCCTTCATACATAAATATGTATTAAATAAGCCAATAATTAGGTAATGTAACCGTGGCATACACTTGGCTGTAATATACATTATTTATAATAGAAATCATTTGTCGCATTGATTCTTTAAAAAACAACTCCAGTTTTTCTAAGGATAACTCTATTGAATCTGAAACTAAAAGTGAGTGTCAAACTAATTTCGAACCCCAAATATTTGAAAGAGATTATATAAATGCAGCTTTATAAATGGTTAGAAAAAAAATCTTTTAAACTTTTGCCAATAAGAAATTTCATTTTACAAGACCATGTTAAAGTAGAGCATGGAATTGAACTTAGTTTACAGCTAGATTGGCGGACCAGATGGGACAGTATCATGATAATGGTTGAAAGATTTTCAAAAGTTATTGTTTCAGTGATAATAGCATTCAATAGCTTGAACTCCCAAACTGTTTAACAATATTTAGGTTTCAGTTTTGAAAAATGTTTTAAACACTTATCAACCAATCAAAATTTGCATCATGTTTACCTAATGCCTCTGCAGCTAGTAGAGGCATTAGGTAAACATGATACAAATTTGTTAACTGCTGATGCAATTTCAAAATTTATATTTGATTCCCTGCATGATAATAATGATGCAATTTCAATGAAGATGCTGCTAGCAATGTCTCTTTGTGTTAAAGAGCAAAAAAAAACAAGATCTTGTGACTTTGATTATCTGCTTGTCTTTGATTTGAATTTTCTGATTTGATTTGCTTTATTTGCGTTTAACTGCAACTCCTCAGCTACTTTCATCATCAAAAGCTGAAAATATTTGTTATGGTAAAGACTAATTTAATAGATTATTCAGTGAAAATGTTGATATTGGGATTAAAAGTTAATCCTTTAAAGAGATCAATTGTTTAGAAACCAAATACACAAATATCAAATACAGATTGGCAAAAATAAAAAAATTGATGATTCTTTTCAAATAATATACACACAGTTTCTAGGTCAGAAACCAAGAGCTCAGACTGAAGAAACTTTTCACCAGTTGTTTGGCCCTCGAAAAATATTTTCGAAAGTTCAAATGAAATTCAATGTTTTTTTTTTATAGGGAATACTATTCTCAATGCAAATTATGTTTTATAAAAACCTCCATAAAAATTTCTAGTAAAATAGCTAAATAATTAAATAAAATATTAAAGTGTAGGTGGCAGGAAAAAAAGAAAAAAACTTATAAAACCTTCAAAAAAAAAATAACATTCCATTTTTTATTTGTTTTAAATTTTGAGAAATTATTACTAACATAGATGGACTCATGTATATCACTTTTGGCAAAATTTTCATAATTTTTTTTCTTCAGTGCATATATTAATTTTTTTGCTTAATTTTTAAATGAATTATTTTACTAAGACTTACCAAGACTTGCATTTTATAGGTCTGAACTAGTTTGTATATATATATATATATATATATATATATATATATATATATATATATATATATATATATATATATATATATATATATATATATATATATATATATATATATATATATATATATATATATATATATATATATATATATATATATATATATATACATATATATATATATATTTGTATTATTATTATATATAATAAAAGTATATACAAATATATATTATTATAATATACTATATATTATTATATAAATTATACATGTTATGAGGTATAGTTCTAGGTCATAAAAGTATGGGTCTTGGTCTTAAAAGAAGTACAACTAAATCAGTCTAAAAATAATAATCATTTATAATAAAAACACTTTTAAAAACAATATTTTTAAAATCTTAAAAAAATTCAACTGAGCCTTTTTGTTTTAAAATTATTTTTTTTAAATCTGAAACAATAACTTTATTTTACAATATACAAAGTAATCCATTGCTGTGTTAATATAGTAATGCAAAACTTTATTAAATTTACTTGAATTAAACATTATATAGTTAAAATTATTTACTTCTTAAAACAACTATAGTCAACAAACCTTATATGGGTATTCCTCACTTCCCATGAAAATGAGATGCTCTAAAGTATGAGGAAGACCATCATCATCATGTGCTTCAGTTGCTATAAAAAATATATATATATATAGATATACTTTTTCTTTACTTTTCAATTCAATTTTATAATTTCTGATGGAAATAATGCTGTAAATCAAGTAGATTTTGTTGCAACATTTTGTGAGAAAAAGTGCAAGTATTGTTTGTGATACAAACATTGTTAATTCTCACGCATCTCTAATAGAGGAACAATTTTCTTTTCTTTTAAACCCTTTATCAAGACATAAAAATATTTAATAACAAAAATTTAAAACCGTTAAACTATTTTACTTAGACAACTTTTCTTATATTGAAAAAAGTGTAAAGATCGCATAGCTCAAAAAAAAAAAGGGTCATTCTATATCAAATCACATGGTTACATTAAATTTGCTTTTAATTTAAAGACTTATACTCTTATTAAAAGATTATAATCCAGGCTTGGTCGGGAAGCGGGTGCAATTGCACTCGATAATTGACCACGGAAATTATATTTACTTGCGAAAAGCCGGCCAGATTTTTCAGGCGTTTTGAGAACATTTAAGTTTATGTATGTTTCCTTGTTTGTCCGCAAAATAATAAATTTATTATTTTATCGTAAATTTTAAAATATTTTGTTTCACGGACGTACATGGAAACTTACATAAACTTGAATGTTGTCAAACAGCTTAGTGCGGAAAAATATTCACGAACACATAAAACCCGCCAAATTTACGAACAACTAATTCTATTGGTTCAATTAATAAATAACTGAAATTACTAAAGAATTCTAGCGAATGTTCTAGAGTATACTGTTGAATTATTTTTCAAAATCGTATAATTTGAGTTTTGTTATGTTTTCGTTGAGATTTCTAGCATCAATTGTTTTAAGAATATACTATCAAACGAACAATTATTTTAATACAATGGCTCATTCTCGGAGTCACATTTACAAAGCTATAAATGTTTTAAACTAAGATTTGTTTACAAAAATAAATGTTTTAAATTTATATTTTTTAACTTGTCAATGTTATTTTTTATATATAAGGGATGTATTTAACGTTTTGTAAATATATTATAGATTTAATTAGTATAATCTTATTTTTTATATATAAGGGATGTATTTATATGTATGTTATGTATTAGAAATTGGTTTACTAACTTCAATTATTTTTGCTTCAGCCATTCTTACAAACTCGTTATACTTACACTTAAAGTTACTTTTTTCTGTAAAACACTAGTTAAAGATACAAAGCCCACTCACTAAACATCATCAGCGATATTGTTAAGCAGTTCCGCTTCCTCCTTACAAAGTAATTTTACGTTTTTAGTTAATTTCTATCTAGCTAATTAAATTTCCACAGTAACTCAATGATTTAGTTTTTCATTTGTTCATCTTACTAAGATGAATCGTTTCAAATATGTTAAACTTTTCAATCTACGCAAAGCATAAAACAGGTACTGAAAAAACTTTTTTTATTTATAATTAAATTATGTAGCGTTAGTTTTATTTGTTTAATCTTGTTGGACTTTACAGGGCCGGGGGCAGCATTATTTTGGTGGCCTTTTTTATGTGCGACAGCGAAAAATGACTTAAAAATACCGATAGGTCCTCTTGACTATTTCTCGGCCCATAACATTGTTTGTTCCGGGACTATAGCTCTTCTACCCCCCCCCCCAACTCTTATTTCCAGCACTGGAAATAAGACATAAGTATATAAATAAAAATTATATATAATCTTTGATAAATTGAAGAACATTTGTTTCTTTATTAAACAATCATTATTAGTACGTTGTTACTATATACAAAAAATGTCGCTTTTTTTTTTAAAAAAATTATAAAAGAGTGACGTTTCAAAAATATTTGCTCTAATCGTATTTACTTTGCTTAAAGTTTTTTCGCGTTAAAGGCTATTTTTCTTTTTTTAACTGTCTCTCATCGGTCCAGTTTATCTTGTTGCGCTTTTTTGCTTGTTCTTGAAATGTTCTCAAAACGCCTAAAAAATCTGGCCGGCTTTTCGCAACTAAATATAATTTCCGTGGTTGAATATCGAGTGCGATCGCACCCGCTTCCCGACCAAGCCTGTAATCCTGACTTAGGTTTTTATTTTTAACTTTTCCTTAAGTTTATATACTCAGTTTTCCTTTAAGTGATATAATCAGTGTCTTAAATCAATTTATTTGATATGATTTTGAAATGTGTATTTAATTTTACACAAACAATAAAATTATAATGATATAATTTACACATGACTATAATTTGAGTGTACACTTTAATTGCATTAAAAGCTAGTTTAAATCTAAATTTGAAGTTAAAGAACGGTACCTATATTGGAAACATCTCCACTCAGAAATGTAAGTAAATGCAACAAATTCAAATATGGAAAATAAAATTTTTTTTTCAAACCTAGTAGCATCAGCATTGGATATAGATCCAAAACACATAGTAGTGGGAAAATGGTAAAAGTGTATAAACTATAATGATTTAGACTTTTGGATTAAAAAAAAAATTAAAAATAAGTTTAAAGGGAAACAGTTAAGTTATTCTCATTAAATTTTAATAGTTAAAAACATGCAAAACATTTTCAGTTTAATAACATCTAATTAAGGAAGCCTGAACATTGAAAAAAAATAAAAATTGCTAAACCTGAGACTAAAAATAGGCAATCTTTAAAAGATATTGTTAAACAGAAAGTTGTTAAAATTTATGAGTCTGAGGAGTTCACAAGACGATGTCTAGAAAAAAAGATTTTTCTGTGCATATTAATAATGTAAAAATTCATAAACAAAAACACCTAGTAATAGTTTGAAGGAACTTCATCTGGAGTTTAAAAAGTTATAACCTAAAAACAATGTTGGATTTACTGTTGCACCACAGTGGACAGTAGTTGAAATCACTCAGTTTTTGTTTGTTCTTATAATCAAAATGCTAAGTTGATGTGCCCTGCTTTCTTAAGGGTTTTTTATCTGATTTACCTAAGGGTTGTTTGATATATTACGAAGATTTGATTAAAGTATGTGTTTGTAATATAGATATTCAAAGCTGCATGTTTTGTCTATATTCCAACTGCCCTAATAAAGTAAATTTGAAGACTTTCTTAAAAATGTTTTTGAAAAAAATGACTTTGATTTTGACAATCAGATCACATACAAACAATGGGTGTCAACTGCACTTGTCACAGTCCAAGCAAACATTATTGAGTTTATCTAAACTCTAAGTGAAACTTTTTATGACACCTTATATGACCCTTATATGACACAAATGCATTTTTTTTTCTGACAGCCTGGCCATGGTTTTTTGCATATATAATTTGTGTGTTGTGCACTAAAAAAAATTTGTGTGTTGTGCACTAAAAAAAACCAAACTAATTTATAGAGAAAATTAAAAATAAACAAACCATAAACTGAAAAGGAAACAAACTTAACAAATGAAAAAATAAATAATGTATAAACCAGAAGAAAAAAAAGCATAAAACTAATATATGTTTTAATTTGGAAGCATCTCAATAGTTCAAACTTAATTAATTTAAAAAGTGTCTCAATTAATAGATTAAACTTAATTAACTTAATGTAAAAGCGTTTAACATATTTTAAAGCTAATAATTGTTCACATCTGGTTTCACGTTGATGTAGCGAATAGGTTGATTAGTTGCGTCAATTATAAGGCAAAACTGTTACATCAGCCTTGATTGAGGGTTCGAATCCAACAAACAGATAACTTTTTTTGTAATGTTTAATTTGCTTTTCAGACATTAGAAAATATCAAATTTTCAAACTTTAAAATAATTAAGTTTTGAAAAAACTAAGCTTAAATTAAATAACTTGGTAAATAGATTGCGTGCTTTTATGACTATTAATCCATCATGGTTTTCTGGAGTATGGCTGGGCTTGCTTGGTTTAGTTCAGAGACAAATCTTTTACGCTGGTTACTATCAATACAAGACATAGGATTTGTTCTTAAGATTTGTAATGAAAACCAAGATGTTAATGTGAAGTTCATGCAATGACAATCTAAATTTGAAATAAACGAATGATGCACAATCATGTCAGTTTTTTGTCTATTTGACAAAGTAATATGTTTCATCCATTAAGGGCAGAATTGCTTGTGACTGCAATCTTGCTAATAATGATTGTGACAGTATTATGAATCTGAATCACAGATAAAGAGTTTAGTGTACTTGTGTTTCATGTGTAAATACATTTCTTCTTTCAGCATTAAAATACTTTTAATGTTAATTTTTTTACAATATAACTTGAGTTATTTTGTAGGCCTTCTTTCCTCTAGGTCTCCTTTTTTAAACTAAAAAATCATCACACTTAAAAGGTTAAAATGTCACATAATAGAGTATAGGTCTTTAAACTTTTTTGGGTGATCATTTATATATAAAACTTCCATAAAAAAAAAAGTTTCATAATTTATTTTAACTGTTTGCACTACTTTCTATGCTTGCAAAGTGAATGTAACTTATCATATTTTTCAAAAAAAGCATTACTTTAGCAGGTTGCTGCAAGTGTTAAACTAACTTTTAACACATAACTTTAATTTTTATTAAAAGTGGTTACTCTAAGCACACAAAGTAAAAAAAATTGGTACTGTCTGTCGGTAGGTATTGAACTGGGGCACATTAAAGTTTCTAAAACTTATCCAAATCCAAATATTGTGTTATTTAGCAACTTTGAGGAACAATAACTTAAAAATTGTTTAACTACAAAAATGAATTATTTGGGTGAAAAACTATTACTGTGAAAATTTTCAGGTGATCACCTTTTTTATTTACAAAGTTAAGGACTATCAAAAATTAAAAAAAATTTACTGTATCAGCGCCCAAAAGAGTTTTCAAAGCTTGGCGATCAAATGTAATTTTTTAAAATAAAGGTTATTTTCCCTCGGATTTTTCAAAATTTCCCTAAAAATAGCTGATCATTGATCGTTGATCGGCCGTTATTTTGAGTGCTACTATATGCTCTACATACTCAAATTTTTTCAATTTTGTTTAACTTTCAAATGGTCAATTAAGTTTAAATTTTCAGGATTGTATTTTTTCTGTGGAT